ATGTTAGGCAGTTTTTACCCCACAGATGTTAGGCAGTTTTTACACCTTAGCTGCAGATTTAGTTCCTCAGAGTCAATTCCCACTAGCCCACCTACAAAACACACCACCCCACTACTAACTTTAACACCACTGTATATTCCCAACTTATTATCCAAGTAATTTGTGTTTTGATGTTACTGTTATGTTTGCAATCAAACATGCTTTATTCTAAATAAATAAATTCAGAGACCAAATTTCTCAAGGAACCAAATACACTCCTCAAATTGGCAAAAGAGCTAATTATTTCACTAATTCCTTTGCACCTTTGAGAATAATCCCATTGTTTACTTCTTAACAGTAGGATAATTACAATGAAAAAAGAGCTTTAATTAGCGTACATACTCAAACGTGTTTTTCTGTTCTCTTGATTGCAGCTGGGCTGCACAACAATAACAGATTTCAGCCAGCAAGTGCATGGGAAAAGCAAGATACTAGAAAACTTGGTTAACGCTCTGTTAAGTCTTACATTTCTTCCTTCTCTTTCATCATACATGAGTAAAAAAGCAATACAGTCACACGCTCAGGGCAACAGCTGATCAATCCACCAATCCAAGTCAGCATTTATTTCTATACTTTTCTGTTTTGAGTTAAACAGCTGCCATTCTGTCAGAGAGGCCACCAAGTGAACAGCATCTAGTGATTTCCTGATCATTCCTGCTTCTCCAATCATATTTACAACTACGGGAACGAAGACATCAGTATTCCTACAGGAGCCGGAGTCCCAGTTGGGATCAAAGCTCAACTGAAGCTGGTACTAGAATTACAAGAGCATCTGTGCAGTCCTATCATTGAAGGGAGTAAAGCGAGGTAAAAAGAACATAATGTATTAGCACACTAGAAGTACAATATAGTTTGTAACTGCTTTTCAGAGCACATGTAGAATATGATCAACTGAAAAAGAGATAAAAATATCAAGGCTACAACAAGATAAGCTGCAGGGGCTGACATGCCCTTGTAGAGTCACTCTAACAGCGTCGCCTTGCTCAGCCTCCTGGGAACAACAGTCTAGCCAACACAATAACTTAACAACCATTGTCTGCTGGGGCAAGCACTGGCTGAGGACCAGGTGACTGGATGATGAAATTCAATCTAGAAAAAGGTAGAGTAATAATGGCAGTAAAGTACTATCAAGAACTATTTAAGTACAGCTGAAATGCCCTGTATAGAACAGGTTTACAGAGGTAAGGCCACAGAAAAGAAGGCTCTATGCAGAGGACATAATCAACATTTGGTGAGATTCTACAGCAATAGAGGCTCAGTTGCTGTGGCACTGCTGGAAAGAATAAGCAGCAAAAAGTAACACCTAACAGTCTCTATAGAATGAAAAATATTCAACAGCTGGGTCCTGCAAAAAGCAGTGCTGGGACAAGTTTTACTGGACATTTTTGTCAGCGACCTGGACAACAAAGCAGAGTGAAACTTCCAGTTTTGCAGATCATGCTAAGCTCCTGTGGCTGCTCAAATGCCTCACCAAACGAAGAGGATTTCAGAAGGACCTTACAACGCAGGGCATAAAAATGCTTAAAACCATGCTGATGTGACACTGAACTCAGAAGCAGCAGTTACAACCCAGGAATGAAACATCGGAATTGTACACTGTACAAGCACTGGCGTACAAATCTTGAGTGCCAAGTGCAGTTTGGTCTCCACATCTCAAAAAGGTTGTAGGATGATCAGTAAAGATGCAGGGAAAGGCAGCTAAGATGACTGTGGGAGTGCAGCAATTTGCTCTCCACAGAAGTCAAAAAGGTTCAAATTCTTCAGCATGGAAATGAGAAGACTAGGAGGGAATTTCATCAAGATTAACAAAATTCTGAGGGCTGAAGGGAGGAAGAACACAGAACCACAATTCACTAGATCCTACAACAGTACAATGAGGGTCACTCACTAAAATAAGCATTTACTTTCAGAAAACCAAACTGATAATGAGTAACAAACTTCTGTAACTTCTTGCCCTGGAAGTCTGTGGAAGCAGAATATATAATTGGGTTCAGAAAAGATTAGTCAAATTGATGGACCACAGGCCAAAAACAGACCTCAAACAAATAGGTAGATGTATCCTTTAATATTCCTAATGCTGTAACTAAGAAAGATGGAGTTAAGGCAAGCAGACACACTCATATACTTGTCATAAACAGCATTTCCTACTTGTGCTGCTCAAGACAAAAATGAGGCTGGGTGGAAGGTCAGCCTGAAGCACTGCAGCATTTCTGACTGGTATGGACTCCATCCCCTCTCGTCCTGAGGCAGTTTCCCTGTGTGAGCCCTGTGCAATGGACACATACAGCTCTGTGTCCAAGCTGCACAGAAAGAGTTTGGCAATACACTCCGTGCCAGAATGGACTTTACAGTCACTAGGGCAAAACAGCTGAAGCCAGACTAAGTTACAAGTCACAGCATTTTTTCTGCCAGGAATCTTCTGCTCATGAAAATAAAAAAAAAACATCCTCTAAGAGAACAAAGCCTGGATTTGTTAAACGTTTAGGACTGTGGCAAAGCCTACGTGGTTCTTAATATATGTGGAAAGAAAAGACTGAGTGTACTAAAGGAAGGGCAAAAATGCCTCTGTACTACCCCCAAAAGAAGTCAGTTCACCAAGCATACTATTGTAGCTGTTAAACTAGAAGTTTTACAGGTACAATTTTTCCTATCATTTTGGCACCTCACTTACCGAGGGGCCCTTTTCCAGCAGCTTTTGCTTTCATCTCCTCAAGTTTCTTTTGTTCCTCCTTCTGCTTTTGCTTAAATGCCAGATCTGTCTAAAGAAAAGAACAGAGTCTGTTAACATCTCCTCTTAAGAAAATACTAAAAACCTAACACACCTAACAGAAGCAAAATGGCTGCATACTATTCAACATGGAAAACCTTTCAGAACTGAACTAGAACATGGAGCTTTAACTCTGTTAAATCACTTAACTCCAATGTTTAAAAAACATCATTTCCCACACCATAATCCCACTCTGCCTTTCGACTGACAGATACACACACTAAAACCATTCAGTAATATGCTACCACTCATAACAAGAACCTTTATGCCTTAGAAGTATTTTTGAAAATTGTTCCACAATGTTAGTAATTTTTGCAGTTTTCCTTTAAAGACTCTTCAATAAATTTGTAGAATTTATCCCACGCTAATTCCAAGAAGAGTAACGTAATTGCTGACAAATCCTACATGCGAGTCAGCTGTTGAATCTCGCTGCTAGAACAGACTCCAGAGCTGTTCTGCAGTTATCCTTTTGACAAATACTCTTCAGGGACAACGTGTCTGAAAGGGACTCGAGCCATCTCGCTCAGCACTCAGGATACACTAGCCTGAGTATCTTAGACAACTGAGATACTATAGATTTCTCACTAACCTAGTCCATAGCCCAAATATCTTTACAACTGGAAAGATTTCCTCTTCCTTAATCTAAAGCTTCCTTAGCTACATATAAGCCTATTACTTCTTCTATTTATATCACACAAAATAGAATATTGTGTTTTTCTCTGCAGGTTTTACCTGTGGGTTTCTCTTCTGCAGACTAATATATCCTAGGAAATATTCCTTCCCATTCATCCATTTTTTTTTAAAATATACAAAGTGAGCCCACATGTGCTTGCAATATTGAGAGCAAAAAAAAATATTACATTCTATGTTTGAGACACGAAGATGTTCAGACATCTTGATTTTTTTCTTTTCTTTTGCAACATCTGATTTTGCTGGTTCACGTTCTAATGCTACAGCTAAGGTACAGTCTAAGTCTCAAAGTCTAACACGCATTAGATGATGCAGCCCCACAGTTCAGCCAATCATTCTCTCTGTATTTTACAAGATGATTATCCTTATCAAGGAACGGGAATTAGCACATACATTTGATTAAACACATCAAGGTTCTTCCCCCCAATTTTCTCCAAATTGTGAAGATTATTTTGAACACTAATCTTGTCCTCCTATAGTACGTGGCTCCTCCAAATTTTCTGCTGCCTACCAAGAGAATAAGCAGCGTTGCCAGTAAGTTAGTCAACCAACCAAACCAGTAATGAAAACAATACCAGAACACAAACCAAAACAAAATATTACAAACCCAGTTTGGTGTATGTAACTGGTTTCCAGTGTGGCGTTCCCCTCACACACACGTCAAGCCTTTCTAGAACAGGCTGCTAAGTGACTTAGGGGGACGCTGTGTGAGTCGGCACCCAACACCCCCTCGCTACCATTCCCCTCACGTCCATGGCACTGCCAGGCTATAAAAACACAACCTGCCTGGGTTTGCTGCTGTTTCACTCCTGCTCCCTCCTGCTTATTCCTCATCATGGTACTGCAATTCGGATGCCTGTAATCTAGGTTCAGTTAATCACAGTATTTCTCTGGGAATAAGTGTAAACTCACTGTCCAGGCCACAGGTTTCTCTTCCCTTTCCAAGGAGGGCAGGAGGTGTCACACCCGCCCTTTCCCGGCCTCACTTCCCCATGAACTTTCCATATTTTCCCTGCAGGGAGTCTCCTCCATCCTTCGTGATCCTCAGCAATAACCGCTTCAGCCTCCAAGCCATTCCCAATCCCGAAGTGGGAGATTCATTAGATTTAAGTAATTTTAAGCTAAACTGCTCCATAAACCTCGTTGTTTTCCCACCCTACCACCCGTCCCGGGACCTCATTACCTCGTGAGACCCCAGCCCGACGAGGCCGAGCGGGACGAGGGGGGTAACGGGGGGGCGCCGCCCGGCGAGGCCCGACCTACCTCATCCAGGTCTTTCGACTGCTTCTTCGGCTGCTTCAGCGGCTTCTTCTTGCCGCCTGCAAAGAGAGGGGAGCCCGTGAGGCCGCGAGGAGCCGCCGCGCCCGCTCCCGGGCCGCCCGCCCGCCCTTACCCTCTCGGCCCGACATGGCGCCCGCTCCGCCGCGCTGCCGGCGCCTCGCGCGCGCGCCCACGTCCCGCTGCTTCCGCCCGGCCGCCGCCGCTTCCGCCACAGCTTCCGCCCGGCTGCAGTCTCTTCCGCCCGGCCGCCGCCGCCGCTTCCGCCACAGCTTCCGCCCGGCCGCCGCCGCTTCCGCCGCGGGCGGCGCGCGGGCAGGTAGGCGGCGGTGGCGGCTCCGCGTTCCCCTTCCCGTCCCCTCAGCGGCCGGCGCGGAGCGGAGCGGAGCGGCCCCTGCGCGGGGAAGGGCGCCCGCGGGCCCCGCGGAGCAGCAGCGCGGCCGCCCTGCCCGCAGCGGCGCCGGCGAGAGACGCCCCGGGCGCGGTTTGCGCCGGCTCCGCCGCTCGGGCGGCCGCATGGGCCTTTCTCGGGCCGTTCCCGTCCTTGCGCTACGCGGAGCCGCCCGCGGTCACACGGACCTCAGCTGAGGCCTCATTGAGACGTTTTCCCCGTTAAAAGTGCTCAGAGGAACGCACTAAGTAGGAAATTAAAATCTTATTTACATACTAACAATTTAAGCTGGGATTAGTTGTCTTTTTTTTTTTTGGGGGGGGGGGGAAGCAAGAATTTAAGCTCATCTTAAAATGCAGCTCTGAGTGCATTTGTTGCCTGATACTTAACGACCTTGTGGCTGTTCCCCGTGTTTGATATTTCTAGGTGACTTCATGACAAAACCAGTGGGGTTCAGTTAATGCCCTTGTATTTTCACTCAGTTCCTCATGTGTTTGACTCTCCGTCCTTCAACACTTTCACATTTATAAGATGCAGGGAATGGACAACCCTGTTTCTTTTCTCCTCAAGCTTCTTTTTATCCTTTTTTTTTTTTTTTCCCCCTTCTGTACTCCTTTTCAGAAGAGATAGCAACAGAAACACTGTGTTTTAAACTGCAGTATGAAAGCCTATGGCAGAAATTCCCTTGGGAAGCACTTTGTGGATCTGAACATTGTGTTACTCTGAAGCTGACGCAGGTTCTGCCCACGAGCCCTATTCAGGATGAAGTGAGCTAGTAATCCAGAGCCATGGTGGAGGTGCTTATTAAGGAGGAAAAAGTGGGAATCTGTGGCAGAACTACCTTTTGGTGAAAATCCTGGAAATTCTCATAGGTAAGTAGTGTGTCAAACTAATGATGACTTAGCAATTCTTGAATTTTACTTGAGTTTTAGCATGTTTGTTTACTTTTAAGTAATACTTACAGGTTTTTTTTTTTAATTTTTTTCATTCTTATAGCACTTTTATTTAGCAACTAAATTCAAGACATGGGGCCAATGAAATATAAATCCAGCGTGTCCTCAGTGTCGAGCGGCCTGCAGTATCACCGTTCCTTGGTGAAACGGAGCCAAAAAATGAATTTGTGCGTTATAAGGACTTACTGCTCATCAGCACCCAAGAGGCCCGAGGTGAAGTCTTCAGCAGAAACAGCCTTGCGCCTCCTTAATCGCCTGACAGAAACGGGGACCGCGATGGGCCGAAACTCCCTTCACAAAATATCCACAATGTGCAAGAGTTGGTGGGACAGATATGAGGAGTTTGTTGGGCTTAATGAAGTGCGAGAGGCTCAGGGAAAAGTGACGCAGGTAAATACAGAGAAAATGTGGAAATTTGAGAGGTTTAATTGAACTATGTGAAATTTAATCACTGGCTCTGAGGCAAAAAAAAAAAAAAAAAAGGTTTCCAAAGAGTCACATGTCTTTTCTAACGGGCTGCCCAGACACCATAAACTTGTCCCAGCCTATGCACATTAGTAAATGTATTTTATCCTGTAGATTTTAATGTGTTTTTTTGTGTTTATTCTTGTTTGTTTGTTTTTTTTCCTTCTTTTTTCCAAATTCACATAATCAACATTTTAGATCTGTTTTGTAGCAAGACTCTAAAATAAAAAATCTCTCTTCTCAGGCTGAAAATGTCTTTATGGTAGCTCGAGGGATAGTACGAGAGGCTCGTGAAAATGTAGAAGCCCAACAAATTAAACTGAAGGAAGTTCGGGACCGCTTAGACAGGGTCTCTCGGGATGACACCCAGTATTTAGAGCTGGCTACTCTGGAACACAGGTTGCTGCAGGTAATTGTTGGTACTCGAGTGCTGGCAAATATGATGAAATGTCGTGTGTTGTGCTTCCTTGCTAGCGACTGTTTTTGCAGTTAAAATTGAATTTTGAAATACAATGGTCTGAGTTAATTTCTAATGATCTTGTTTTGGGTCTTGTATGAGTATTTGGGTCTAGTATTCAGTCTAGTATGCAAACCATTTGCTAATATTGAAATATGTAGTGAATTTGGAGAAGAAAGCTGAAGATAGTGAGCCTAGAAAATTAATTCTTTGAGGGAAGAGAAGTACATGGATAGTCGATTAAAAAACTGGGATTTGATGAATTTTGCTTCCAGGTGATGAGAAAAGTTCATTCCTGGTTGTTAATCCATGAAAAACTCTCCCAGCTGCCTTCTCTCTGGCTGCAATGCCCAAGAAATTTATGGAAGTCTTTGTCAGGGAGCCACAGGGTGGAGGCTGCGCCATGAGGGAGGCCAAGCAGGGAGCTGAGGTGGCCGCTGTGCAGGCCGGAGCTGTGCCATGGGGCACAGTCCCACACCTCGAGCACTGCATCAGCAGAGCTGGCAACAGGAGCAGGTTCCAGCCCAGCAATCAGCAGAGGAAAGCGAGCAAGGCAAGGCCAAGCTCAGGGCAGGAGATCCGAATGACGCTTCACGAACAGTAGGGAATGGACCTGGAAGCAGGTGCAGCTTTGAGAAAGCTCCAGCAAGGAGTCGGTGCCCAGGCCTGAGCTAAAGTTGCTCCTGGATCCATGTGCAGAGCATCAGGAAAGCACCAAAGGCAGCTGTTAAGGCAGTGGATCGGGTGAATGAGACTCCAGGAAGATTAGAGCTAAGCAAGATTATGAGCAAAGGTAAAACTGAACCAAACCAAAGTGTGACAAGGAGTTTTGGGGAGAGAAAGCATCAGGACAGAGAGAGACTGAGAAAGACCTTGCCCCTTCACACTGCTTTTATGTCTTCAGTATGTGGCAGGTTCCTGTGTAGAGTCTTCAGCTGTAATTCTTGATGACTTTCTCCATTTCTTAGTTTTGTCTAAATAGTGTCTCACTGATTTTAGCAGTATAATAAAGAAAATCCCACAAAGGATTTTCTCCTGCAACAAGACTAATGAAAGAGTGAAAGTGGAGCACATTCATCTGCACTGTTTCTTTTTTAAATACAGACTTTTTAGCTTCACAGCACACCTTTTCCTTCAACTCACTGTGTTTCTTGCAGGAAGAGAAGAGATACCGAGCTGCCTATTTAAATGCAGAAGAATCTGAGCGAGAAAAATTCTCTCTTTTCTCTGCAGCTGTAAGGGAAAGTCATGAGAAAGAGCGAACAAGAGCTGAAAAAACAAAGAACTGGTCCATTATTGGTTCTGTACTGGGAGCGATTATAGGTGTTCTTGGTTCCACCTACGTTAATCGAGTAAGGCTGCAAGAATTAAAAGTCCTGGTGCTTGAAGCACAGAAAGGGCCAATAAGTCTGCAAGAAGCCATCAAAGAGCAGGCCTCCAGCCATTCCTTACAGCAAAAGGATCTCAGTGATATCATAGCAGACCTGAAAAACATGCTGCAAACAAGGACATCACAGGAAATAAAAGAAGGTGTCTTGTTAGTTAAAGAAGACAGGAATGACTCCTTTAAAATAGATTCTCTTTTAATTCCCTTAAAAGAACAGCTAAGCTACACTAAACAAGTCAGTTCATGCCTGGGGAATTTACAGCAGCAGTTTAGCAGTTTGCAGGAAAGTATAGCACAAATGGTGTCTGAAATGCAGAACGTTAAACGTGCAGTTCATGCTAGACCCACGGAAAGAGTGGTGCCCAGGTCTCCCGTGGAGGGCAAGGAGCAGGTTTCTGCGGTGAAAGACGTGATTTTGGAGTTGTATGATACAGAACGGAGGCTAGAAACACAAATGAAGAGAAATACTGTTTACAGCACGGCGCTGACATGCGCGATGTTTGCTTTCACTCTGCCAGTACTGTATGTTATATTTAAAGGAAACTGAGCTCTAATTAATTAACAGAATTTACTAGATTAATAAAAGTAAGCTTGCACTCTAAGCAGTTAGAGTACAACGTCAAGGAACTGTTCGTTAGCATTTTCTCATTATGCTTTTTTTCTGTATAGTTGGGAAACTTGTAATGTCTGTCTCCAGGTGCAGACAGTGTGTTAATAATCAACGTGGGGCAGTTTCAGCTCCTCGAGCAAAGGAGGTCCTCCCGTTTCAACTGCTGTATGTTTTTTACTATCTAGTTTTGTGTATCTTGCAAGCCAGTAACTTGCACTCCAGAGCTGTATTCATGATTTTCTGTTTAAATGAATCGTTTAATCTGCCATTCAGTACTTTATGTATAATCCTTTACAATTTTGCTCCCTATTTCTTCCTAATTGTTCAGTTTGTCCATGCACAGGCTTCTGGGAGTTGCCTTACAAAGGGACTGAAATATTTGCCCTGAAGATATCCTTTTTTTTTTTTTTCTTTTTTCTTGAAGATGTGTGGCAATGATAGGATATGGCAAACGTCAGGGATCATATGATCATGGGAGGATTGAAATCACCATGAGACCTGCGTCTATACAGCCAGATGATGCATTTAAAATACATATAGTAGCTTTCTCTTAAGACTATTTATCATCATGTATCCAAAAGCTTTTCTAGAGCTTTAGCTATTTGTTACTGATATCTCTATATCCTTAAGGTTTACAGGCACGAAGGAGAGGGAAGAGATGGGTAAGATGATGTTCGCTTTGCTGATGCAGACTGATTTTGTCCTGTATCATTCCCTCGCTAGTTTGTGCTTTCAGTGATTCTCTGGGAAGCAGTCACTTCCTAATTCCTTCCAGTATCTTTTCTTGGAATATTTTCCACTTCTTCATTTTTCAGCTTCTTCACAGCAAGTGAAAATTGGTACTTTTAAGCCGCTGTGTTAGGGACAATAGTATTAGGAAAACTACGCCAAAATAATGCTTGGAAAAAAAAATAAATTTCCAGCTGCCTGCTTTTTCTGAAGGGGGCAAAGAATGGCTGATTGAAGGATAACTCTCTAATCAGCTAAGCATCAATACTCACACATAGCCCAGAGCAAGGTTGTCTGTATTGCACTGATAAGATACAGTTTCCTCTCCCAATTGTAGCAGACAGTCCCAGTTTGGAACCCCTGCTCTATCGAGTACCTATGCGAAACCTTTGCTGGGGACGGACAGACAATCTCACTTCGTGCTGTAGTGCCTTGGTGTCAGCATTTCACAGTGACTAAGCTGTTTAGTATACAGTCTGCTATTTATTTTTCTGTCAGTCTTCTCTGCTTTCTTCTCCCCATTAAAGAGATTAAAAGAGATTGAGGTTTTGACTGTAAACTCTTAACGTTGTAAGATCTTTGGGACAGGGATGATTGCTCTGTGAGGCATCAACCTTTTCTGGAATCATTAGGTACTATCATAACATGATTGAATAAACAGTATTAGGAATGATCGTGATGATTCACTGCTTATAAGTGAGATCAAGTTTGGTCGGTGTTTTGGGGGAGGACTGTTGCTGATTTATGTGTTGATTATTTGGATTTTAAAGTGCATAATAAGCACTTGTTAGGGAAACTGTATGAACCAATGGCAGGCACTGATATCTGGGATAAAAATACTTCTTCAAGAAGCACATGCATAGTTTACAAATTCTCAGGCCTCTAATGTTTCATTTTCTCACTACACAAATGTTTCTACAGATTATCCTTCCAGTAGGAGCTTGGTGAAAATCAGAGACAAGTACATAATGAAAGGGGAGAGGAGAGCATAATGGATCCTATTTATAATTTACCAACAGTACTCACTGAGAATTCTGCAAAAACAAATCCAGTTTGACTGAGTGAATTTAGCTCCTCCTTATTAGGCTGTGGCTGAATTTTGGAGATGGAGCATCACTGAAGAGCTTGTTTATATGACTTGTTTAAAGCCATACGACGACGGATTTAAAATGCTCTAAATGTTAGGCAGATAAGCTTGAATATCTAGGCAACACTTTGCTCACTGAATTGTGCTTGTTTGGATTGTGGCATGAGCAGTGAACAGAAGTATAAGGTTGAACTTGGATACAGTAGAGTACAAAAGCTAGGGTTGTTTATTGATCTGTTTTCTTCCTATTTAAACAACAGTAGCTTTAACATTATCTAGTGTTGCAGGAGAAGTCAGTCGTTGGGTTCAGCAGCAAATAAATTTAATAGTCTAGTAGACACTGGACTAAATCTGATGTGAATGAGAGCCTGAAGTGCATAGCCTTGAATCTGAGAAAGCTCAACAGTGTGATACATAGTGTGAGAATATCTGGATTTTATCCTTTGCAGGGTGTTTGGAGGGTTCAGGAACAGGTTCTGCATGTGCAGTGTTGTACAACTGGCAGAAATCACTGATACGATTGATTGCAACAGTTCTTAACGAGCTATTTTAGTAAAAGAATAGTCCTCTGGTGCATATCTATGGGTTATTAGCGGACTTTTGCTTCTGGAATGGGGCCTCTCGGCTCTGTGTGAGCAAAGTCCTCCCTGGGCAGGAAGGCCCAGCCGGCTGTGCTGGGCAGCGAGCAGGGCTGGTGCCTCCCAGGGAGGCCAGGGACTTGCCTGTTTGGTCCCTGCCAAAGCGTTTTGAGATCCTAATGTTCCCTAAGAAACCCCTCTTAACTCAGAAGCAGAAGCCTAGTGATATGGAAAAAAACATATAATAACGGCAGTACAGACTTTTAACAATAGATGCATTTTCAAGAGAAAACTTGCCATTCCTTCCACTCAGGAAGGCAGTATCGAGTAGTGTTTATGAACACACAATAAAAGTGTTATACTCAGTGTCACAATGTGTGTGTATACATATATGTATTTATTTATATTTATTCTTGAGGTTTGAATGTTCCAGCAGTCTGAGATTCTGGTGGCAAATTACAGGTGCTCCCACTGATGTAATTGTAACCATGTGTTTGGCAGAGACAAGGAGAACTTTCTTTTAGAGAATTCCCACAAATGGAACAAATTTACTTTCCTCGTGGTGGATTTGAAGACTGATAGAAATACCCTACCTAGGAGCAGCATTGAGATGAGCCGTCAGATTTAGACTTGTGAGCTGGAAAGAGAGACACCAAGCTGGTTTGTCCACAGCTTCTTTAGAACAGAATTTCATTGCCAGTCTCTAGCTAGATTAGTTAAAGACTTAGTCTTTAGTTAGATTTCTGTCCTGCCACCCAGAAGGATATAGAAGTGCAATTTCTGGTGTTTAGCGATTGCTAATTAGTATAAAGTATTCAGCAAAAGTACAGCAAAAAATATAAAGGCTAAGTTAGATAGGACAGAGTTTCTATTTTGAAGGAGAATCAAATGTGTAATTATTGTTGTGGCAAGCCTTTGAAGTTTCCATCATGGAAAGTCTGTAAGAAGAGTTTAGATAAACATCACTAGGACCAATGCAGGTGTAAGTGGCTTCTGCCCTGAAACAAGCTGGATTCAGTCAAGAGCTTTCAAACTTTTTGTTCCAAGGGCCCCTTTTCTTTTTTCATAAAGCCTCCCAGATTTGCACTCCTGCCATAAGCCTTTGATTTTAAATGGCTGTGGCCTTCGCTGGCCTTGGTGCAAATTTGCCTGAAGCGAAGATCATCCTGCTTGAATAGTGGCACATCATGAGTTCTCAGGAAGGTCCCTGGGCTTCAAGACTCGTTAAGAGATGAAATCCATGTTGATTCAGGGTGTCCATCGCCCAGCTGTCCCTAAGAGGTTGGTGCCTGCAGTCTGCTTTGGGAAATAGATCTTAGTACTTGCTTTTGAGGGAGGTGGCTGTGACAACCCGCATGGCCAAAGCCCTCGTCTGAGATGCTGGAGAACTTGTTCATGGTGACATTGGGCACGCTGGGCGTCAGAGCGTTAGCCACACAGCTCCTGGGTGAAGGATGCTCGTGGCAACCCCTAATCTTGTGTAACCCCTAATCCTTGGCTGGGACACACCTGAGCGAGGAGGAGTGCGGTAAGAGCAGCTCTGTGCCCCTGCAGAGTGAAACCACTAACATCCCAGTGAATGCAGACCTAGAAAGAAGCCAGATTCCCAGGAGGATGGCTACAGTCAACCTCCTGCTCCCTGAATTACTGCTCCACAAGCAGCCTATTCCCAGAAGCTATAGCCAGTGTTCACAGCCTCCTTGTGACTCCCTTAGCCTGTCTTATCCCCTGCTCCGAGGGGAGGAAGAGCAGGGATGGAATCACAAGCAGCATAAGCAGCTGCTGGCCTTGTGATTACCATAAGAGTTACGTAAGGAACTTAGCTAACCTGCTTAGGAGCAGACACGAAGGAGGATCCTTTTGGGATTTAAATATAGAGGAAAGCTCCGGAACAAATGGAAGCCAAAGCCTGTTGGAGTTAGCTTTGTCTGTCATATAATGTTTATTCTTTGTTTCATGCTGTTTTCAGATATGTTATCACAGGAGGAAAGTGCTCTCCAGCTTTTTGCTTTTTTGGGGGAGACTTTGTAATGGAGGGAAGGGGCTGCAGGTTGGGAGTGGGTTGCAGATCCGAATCAGCAATGGGATGGAGCCAAGGGAAGGGTTCCTCGTGCTGCGTTAATGAATTTGAACGGTGCTGGAAGCCATTGGGGAGCAGTTAAAATGTGTCTGGGGGGTGAAGGGATGATGAAAAGCTGCGCCGTGAGTCCCGGCTGGAGAGCACCCCTTGGGAACAGGGTGTTCTGCCTGCGCGGGAGGCAAGGAGGGAGCAGGCTGCAGCTTGGATGATAATCCCGCTCCGGGCCGCCGGGGACGAAACTTTCGGAGCTGCTTTTTCCTTTAAAAGCCGGTGGCTGCTCGGGGTGGCGGCGGGAGCGCAACAAAGGGCGCGTGGGAGCGGAGGCTCCCGCCGCCGCGAGCCGCGGAAAGGTCAGAGCGGCCCGTGGGCGGGGAGCCCGCGCCGCCCCCCGGCAGCCCCGCGCCCTGCCGCTGCCTCCGTGCGAGGAGGCAACAGGACGGGGCGGCCCCTCGCAGGGCCCGAGCCCCCCTGCCCGGAGCGCGGGCGCCGCCGCCGCAGCCGGTCCCTGTGCAACCCCGTCTCCCCGCGGAACCGGCGCTGCGAGCCCCGCTGTGCAGGGGCCTCCCCACGCGGGGCGGCCGCTTCAAGAGGCGGCGCCGGGGCTGCTCCGCGCCCGGGCTCCCCCTCCCGGGCTCCCCTCCCCGGGCGCCGCC